AGCGTCATGAGTAGTAAAAACTTCCAAAAGCAGTCAAATTATCTACAAAACCAGTTGAGCAGTGAGAAGGTCTTGAGCATATATTGGAATACGCAGCAAGATGTCTTTCAATTCGAAACTAAGTTTTATCAAAAACCGAAAGAAGTAATAAATGGAGGTCGAGTTCCAACTAAGAGATAGCTACTAGGCATAGTTATGGCAATATTTGACCCATTTGGCTTGATTGCGGACTGATGATATATCTGATCATATATCTGCCAAAATTCTTGTACAGAATACATGGATCTATGGTACAAATTGAGATGAGGCTATACCAACAGAGTTACATCAAAATTTGAACCACTGGCTATCAGAACTGTGTCATGTGCACCAGTTTAAAATTCCGCGAGTTTACTCGCCCAACTTTAGTTGTTATGAAAAACTGGAAATGCATATTTTTGTTGACGCAAGCCAGCACGCCTTTGCAGCTGTTGCCTATTCACGTGTTCTTAATCCAACCAAAGTTGATGTTGCCTTTGTCATTCGTAAAACGCGTTTAGCTCCGAAGAAACTCCTTTCTATTTTTAGATTAAAACTACAAGCTGCCATTCTTAGGGTTCGGTTAAATCGTTTGATACAAGATACCTATAGAAGACATCTTGTTTTGGAGTGATTCCAAAACCGTACTGCTGTGCATTTTTTCGTAAGCAAGAAAGCTTAAACCATTTTTCGGCCACCGAAATGCTGAGATCTTAGCCAGTACTACATCAACGCAATGAAACTGGGAACTGTCATCCTTGAACACCGCGGACGCTGCCACTCGATTGTGTAATTTACAAAAAATATGTAACGACAGTCCTTGTATACTTCCCTTCAGTTCTGCAGTAGGGACGCGGTGACATGGCTCAAGGCAAAAAGCTTTTTTTGTGCCTAAAACGCTGTGCCGCTGTTGACGTCAGCAGAGCAGTCGGCGCAGCGTAGAAGACTGCCCACGAAAACGATCGTGCAACAAAGAGAGGCAGATATTCGGATATTTCCCTCTCTTTCTTGTCTTATAATCTGCCTGCACTCCGCGCTCGCAGAGACAAATTTCGGCTGGTCCGTTATTTTTTTTTGCGTCTCTTCGTTATGTTCGGCTAGCGACTAATATTTCGGCGGAAAAATTTTCGTGGAGAAGCGACATGTGAATGCCCTAATATTTTATTTTATTTATTTTATTTTATTTTAACAAATTACAGCTAGTATATAATACTAAAATTAATATTTAAAAAGAAAGAAGGGGCGCTGGAAGCTAAAGTCCTTCGGCCCGGCTGTTTAAGCTAAATTACGATATCTAAATTCGGAGATGAACTGTAGTAATGTATTCTTTCAATTTTTTGATGTTTGGTATGGAGGGGGATGTGAGAAGGGAGGATGGAACGGTGACGGATCCAAAAATGGAAAATCGTGTATGATTTAAAGCCTGGCCGGTATCGAGAAGATGTTCGATCGAAGAAATAATGCCTCCGCAGAAGCGGCAAGGCGGGGGGAGCCGTGGAGCAGCGACATGTGAATGCCCTAATATTTTAGGAGCATTATTGTGTATCGAAAAAAACAACTAATATTGTTTTATAAAAGTAAACTATTTGATTATAGTAAAATTTAGTAAATTGAATTTACTTATAATGTTATATTTACTTATTATACATTCTTATTACAATATAATTTTATAGTTAAGTTATAGAAATTTAGTCCGTTAAAATTGATTTAAGTATTTAAAACATTTAAGTATTAACATTTAAAAAAAAATCGTATTGTATTTTTTACTCAAGAAGTAAAAACTATATAGTCGGATATATTTTACTTTAGAAAGGGTATAGGTGCAGTGGCACGCGCCAACAGCGAAGAGAAAACAAAAGAAATCTAGTAAAGGGGTGAGAAGACTTGGTGCATTCTGTTTGAGTGATTGAAAGGGAAGCATCAATTTTAATGGTGCGCAGCAGAGTTACTTTAATCGTTTAGTTAATATAATAAAGTCAGGTAAGTGCTACATTAAGTTTAAGATGTTGTGCATTGATCTTAGTTTAAAGTACGTAAATTTTGAAGGTATTCAATGGGTTCCGTTAGCCGAAAGTGGATGACGAAATGTTTTGTGCCAATAAAAATTCTGCAACAAGCTATAAAAGGTAAATATACAATTAAACAAATAAAACGCATTTTTTAAACATATGTTTTTTCAGGAGCGTTGGCCAAGGATTCAGAGGACCCGGACAAAGGTTTAAGAACGGCGATGTCTAACGTTAAAAATAAGCTTACGAAGCAAAAAAACAGAAACAATAATTGTACAATTTTTGAAAATCTAAATAGTACCATATAATTAAAATGAATTAAAATGAAATGAATTAAATTCTATATTTTTTTAATTGAAAACTCAAGGAAAAATTCTGATTTTCACAAGTGATTCACTTGGGACGTGTCCCTTGCAAGTGATTTCACAAGTGACAACTCAAGGAAAAATTCTGATTTTCCCAAGTGTTTCACTTGGGACGTGTCCCTTGCAAGTGATTTCACAAGTGAAAACTCAAGGAAAAATTCTGATTTTCCCAAGTGATTCACTTGGGACGAGTCACCGGCACGTGACAGGCCATACGAAAAATGAGTATAAGGAACAAGTGAAATCCCGTAGGACTTCGAAAAATTTTCATTTGAATTTTCACTTGTGAAAATGCGGACATCCCATACAATTTTCTATATGGAGCGTCACTTGTTCTTCACTTGTGCAAGAGGACATGTCCCACGGGATTCACAAGGTGATTCACAAGTGAAACTTTTTTTTTGGAACTGAAGGGTTGGTACAAGCTTCTTGAAATCGCCACGTTCAGACTGGCCACAGATGATTGACAAAGCTTCAAGGGATCCATTGGAAGAGGAACTTTGCGAACGAAATTATCAGGTAGTAGTCTCAGTAATAGATTTTCATCCATTCTCTTCTTACAGTAATCTAAAGCGTGTTTTAGTCTGGGTAATGCGTGTAGAAAGAATTTGGCTTAAACTTGCATCCAATAGAGGATTTTTGACTGCCAACGAACTATTTGATGCCGAAATCGAGATATGTAGACTGGTGCAGCAAAAGGCATACGCAAATGAGATTACGTCATAGCTAAACAACAAAGTGCTGTCAAAGGATAGTGCAATTTATGGACTTTCGGCTTACATAGAGACAGATGGCATTCTACACCCCGCGGATCGAATAGATGAGGCATCATATCTACAAAGCTCAACACGGCGACCTAATCTGCTTCCGACAGGTCACAAAGTGTCCACCATTATCATGACATACTTTATGTAAAATATCATCATCAAAATCAGGCGGTTATAATCAACGAAAGTCGACAAAAGTTTTGGATTCCGGAAATTGCTCAACAATGTAACGCCTGAATGCTCTAGATGTATCATAGACCGAGGATTACCGAAAACCACCATTGCCACCTGATCGGCTGACGCCCTACGTTAGCCCATTAACATATACAGGGGTGGATTTGTTTGGTCCACTAACCGTATCAGTCGGTCGCTGGGCAGTTATGTTTACTTGAATGACATGCAGAGCAACTCATCTTGAACTAGCTGCAGACCTTTCGACAGATGCATTTATAATCTGTCTACAAAATTTCATCAACCGTAGGAGTACACCTGTAATTATTCGAAGCGATATCGGCACAAACTTGATCGGTGCTAATAGCTGAAGGTTCATGATAGTTTGTTGGATTTCGATACTATAGCGAACGAAGCGGCTCAAAAGGGTACTAAATGGATCTTCAACCTAGCGCCGGTGGGTGTTGCGAATGGTTAATTCGAATCATAAAGGATTGTTGATGAAAACTTTATGCGATATTTACCGACGAGTTGAGACTCTTCAGTCAGTATTGATAGAAGCGGAAAACATTCTGAATGCGCGACCTTTAACTGAAATACCCTTAACAAATGAAGCAGAAGAGCCTTTGACTCCAAAACACTTCGCTCAAGCCCTTAAAGAGCGCTTATGGAAGAGGCTGATAGTTGAGAATCTCCCTCAACTCATGTGTACAACTAAATGGTATCATAAAACAACTCCATTTCAAGTTGACGACTTAGTACTTGTAATGGACGCCACTGCACCGAGAAGTACTTGGAAAAAAGGAAGAGTCATATAGGTGTTTGTCGGAAAGGATCAATAAGTTCGTTCTGCCGAGTTCAAAACTGAAGATAACTTGCTACGACGGCCAACATCCAAGTTAATTGAACTTCAGTTAAGTAATGAATCCAAGACGATTCACGGGAAGGGCGGATGTAAGGATTTATTATTTAAGTTGAGAAAAATATGTATTGTTTTTGGTATTTTTATTTAAATTTAAAAGAAAAGAAGTTTGATTTGTTGTGATGGTCATACTGGCAATTTGAAGAAAACAATTAAGAAAAGTAGACGAGCTAGTAAAGCACAAAATTGAAACGCAGAATAAAGATTGAAAACGACAATTTTTGTGTATTTGATTGAACAGTGGGCGTGCCAAATTTTTGTTTGGATCAATCGATAGGTATTGATTAAAACAATTAATTTGAGTTCAAATTTTTATTCTAGCATTAAATCTGTAAAAAACACAGTTTTTGGGCGGTTTGTGGGCGTTAGAAACAAAATTGCGTTGCGCAGGAAGTTCAGGAACCTGCATGCCAATAACCAATAGCCTTGCTCTTATAGTTTCCGAGATCTCAGCGTTCTTACGCACAGACAGACAGACGGACATGGCTAGATCGACTCAGCTAGTGATCCTGATCAAGAATATATATACTTTATAGGGTCGGAAACGCTTTTTTTCTGCCTGTTACATACTTTCCGATGAATCTTGTATACCCTTATACTCTACGAGTAACGGGTATAAAAGTTACCTAACTAGAAATTATTGCAGAGGTGAAAACAAAAGATCCCAATTTTAGAGATAGAATTTTTACATCTGGTCTCGACGACACCAAGAAACATTATAGCTTTATTATTGTTCAGGCCTTGTCGACGGTCGAACATTGTAATCGATAGGTAGACTAAGTATTGTAAGAGAAATCTAGTATTTGTTAATTTATCCGATCTCGTATGGATTTCTTGGCCCTTGAAGTGCGGGCCTACTAATATCGGTTTAATGGATGCCGCCATAAATTGTGCCTTTCATTGTCTTGTGAATCGTAGGAGGGCACACTGCGGTAAGATTAAGTTAGTTTGAAATGTATGAGGCTGATTTGAATTGTTAACAGAATAAAACGATCGCCCCGATCGCACCAATCGAGCGCCACCAGGCGCACGCCGCCCTTAAAGTTCACCCTCTCTTCGGACCTACGCGTGTGGGGTAGTCGTTAACAAGGCAACTCCATATGATGCAAGACAACGCCGCAGCCAGCGGCCAGAAGGCACAGGTGCCGCCATTTTGGAGAGCGCTGAGGCAGCGCCGCATTTGGACCTGTTAGGATGCAGCATTCCCCGAAGAGGAGCTCGCGGCTGAGAGGAGGGGAAGCCACCCCTACAGCAGCGCGAGCGGATCAGCAGCCAGTGAGTAGTGGAGCAGAAAACCGGCCGCGAGTGAACATAACCTCGGCGGCGGCCATTTCTAGCCCAGCCACTACGGTGACTACAGTAGCGTCCCAACCGAGGAGTACTGCTGTCACAGCTGCGGGATCAGAGCCGGAGACGAACCAGTCCCTCACGTCGGACCTTTTGAAAAGGATCGCGGCGTTGGAGGAGGAGCTAAAGCAGGTTAAAGCCCTGAACAGTGTGAGCACCGCCAATTGCGCGCCAATCGCAGTTGGCCCAAGCGCAGATGGCGCCAACAGTGGAGCGTCGGGGTGGCCGCCATCTTGGAGCGGACCGCCATTAGCCACATCTAACGGTGAGGCCTCAACTAACGGGGTCGGGCCGGTCCCACATAGCGGTGTCGGTGCGAGCAGTGCGGCCTGCACGCTGCCGCCATCTTGGAGTGGACCGCCATTGCTAACGACTAGCAATCATTTTGTGGAGCCACTGTGTGCTACAAGTGTTGCGCAGACAGCGCATGGATTCGTGCTACCGGGCGGGAGCACCCACAACGTGGCAACAGCATCGCCATTTGTTGGGTCCTACGCCCCGATAACGCCGAATGAATCCCAAAGAGTGTACGGGCCAAGGAAGCTTCCGGACCTGCCTGTATTTGGAGGGCAGCCCGAGGAGTGGCCGATCTTTAACTGTGCGTTTGTGGAGACGACCCAAGCATACAACTGCACAGACTTGGAGAACAACCAGAGGTTGTTGAAGGCGCTGAAGGATGAAGCACGCGAGACAGTGAAGTCGCTGCTGATTCACCCTGGGAACGTCAGCGCCGTGATGGAGCAGCTGCGCTTTAGGTTCGGCCGACCGGAGCAGCTTATACGCAGCCAGCTGAACAGCGTGCGAGAGGTGCCGCCGATTTCGGAGCAGCACCTGGCGAGGATCGTTCCCTTCGCAACCCGAGTGAGTAACCTCACGGCCTTCTTGCAGTCAGCGAAGGCGGAACAGCACCTGCGGAACCCAACGCTAATGGAGGAGCTTGTGGCAAAGCTTCCTACGAGCAAGCGAGTAGACTGGGCCAGGCACGCTGCATCGATCGAACCCTTTCCCACTGTGGCGCACTTCAGCGTGTGGCTGCAGGAGTACGCAAACGTCGTGTGTACGGTTTTGGACGTCGAGGGAAAGGAGCCGAGGCGTCGAGTTCTACATGCGAGCGTCGACCAGAACGGATGCGATCAACAGGATGATCGGCATGGAGGTTGTCCAATTTGTGGAGGGCAACATGCTGCGACGAGCTGCAGGGAGTTCATTGGAGCTTCGCCACCGGGTAGGTGGAGCATGGTGAGGAGGCATCGGCTCTGCTTCACATGCTTACGGAGTGGACATACGACCAGAACCTGCGATGTACATGGCGAGTGCCAGATCAACGGATGCCGCAGATTGCATCACCGTCTGCTACATGGTGCGGACGAGGAGCGGAGATGGCCGGCGCAGCGAGGTGGCTTCAGGAGCCACAACGGAGGAAACCAGCAGTCAGCAGTTTCCAGACGCGGCCCGGACAGGAGGTCTTTGCCACGAGGTGGTTACAGGGACCACGAGGGGAGCCTACAGTCGGCTGTCCCCAGAAACAGCCTGGAGATAAGGGCCCCGCAGCCAGCGGAGGCGCCCGTGCAGAGGAACTTAAACTGCGTTGACGCCGAGGGAGGCCGACTTCTGTTCCGTATACTGCCAGTAACGCTGTACGGAGCTGGTCGCCAGGTGGATACATACGCGCTCTTAGATGAAGGATCCTCCGTCACGATGATCGATGACGAGCTACGGAGGAATCTGGGAGTGCGAGGCGTACATCGACAGCTGAATATACAATGTTTTGGAGGAAGGGCCAGCAAAGAGCCCAGAAACGTGGTGAGCCTAGAGATAAGTGGAGCTGGGAAGCCCACTCGCCACGCTTTAAGGAACGTGTACTCCGTTTCGAGCCTGAGTCTGCCAATGCAGACGTTAGGTCGACGAGATGTCCAGGGCGTGCATAAGGATGCGCGTCTGCCGATGAAGCCCTACATCAACGTGGTGCCTAAGTTCCTCATCGGACTTAGGACGAGGCGGTTTGCCAGAGAGGGACCGTATGCGGCCGCAACCGAGCTTGGATGGGTTGTGTTTGGGCCAGTAAGTGGGCAATCGACTACGCCGTCACCGAAGTCCTGCCTTCTAGCCGTGTCAATGGATGATACGATGGAAAAGATGGTGGAGAACTACTTCGAGATGGAAAGCTTTGGTGTGAAGCTCGCGCCACAGGTCGCAGGCAGCGATGACGCGCGGGCACAAAGGATCCTCGAAGATACCACGGTGAAAGTGGGGCGTCGCTACCAGACGGGATTACTCTGGAAGGACGACTACGCTGTGCTGCCACGGAGCTATGAGATGGCGCACAGACGGCTGATCAATGTGGAGAAGAAGTTGAAGCGCAACGGGCAGTTGGCGCTGGAATACGATCGTATCATCAATGATTACGTATCCAAAGGATATGCGAGGAAGCTGCAGCAGGATGAGATCGCGGTGACGAGCGACCGGCTATGGTATTTGCCACATTTTGGTGTCGAAAACCCGAACAAGCCCGGTAAGGTCCGGCTTGTGTTCGATGCTGCAGCCAAGGTTGGAGGAACCTCGCTAAATTCGGCGCTGGACAAGGGGCCTCAGCATTACAAGCCCTTGCCAGCCGTGCTCTTCCACTTCAGGGAAGGAGCAGTCGGAGTCTGCGGTGACATCAAGGAGATGTTCCACCAAGTGCTGATCCGACCCGAGGATCGATGTTCCCAACGATTCCTTTGGAGAGATGGCAACGACGATCGAGACCCGGATACGTACGAGGATGACAACGTGATGGTTAGCTTCGTGTGCGCAAAGACGAAGTGCGCGCCGATGAGAACGATGTCGATCCCAAGGTTGGAGCTGCAGGCAGCGGTTCTTGGAACCAGACTGATGAACACTGTCCAGGAGGAGCACAGTGTGGACATCAGCGAGACGGTGTTCTGGACGGACTCAAAGACGGTGCTGAGATGGATCGGCAGCACCCACCGCCAGTACAAGCAGTTTGTTGGCAACCGAGTGGCGGAGATTTTGGAGTCGTCGAAGGTTTCCCAGTGGAGGTGGGTACCTACAGCTGACAACGCAGCGGATGATGCGACGCGGTCGCAGAATAAGGCGGACCTTAGCCCGGAATCACGTTGGCTAAGTGGACCCGCATTTTTGAGGCAGCCAGCGAGCGGCTGGCCGGCGCCTGAGGAGGGAACTAAGCGTGTTCCAGATGCGCCTGAGGAGGGAACTAAGCGTGTTCCAGATGCGCCTGAGGAGGGAACTAACCGTGTTCCAGATGCGCCTGAGGAGGGAACTAAGCGTGTTCCAGATGCGCCTGAGGAGGGAACTAAGCGTGTTCCAGATGCGCCTGATGAAGAGGAGATGCCCGGTGATTTTGGTGGATGCCCGGTGATTGGTGGCCGCGGATGAATTTGCCATTCCGTTCCAGAGATTCTCGAGCTTCAGTCGCCTGGTGAGGACCACAGCATGGGTCTTGAGGTTTGCGCGTTGGTGTCGCAAGCAGAGAAGCGAGATCGAGGAGTACGGACTCACTGCATCGGAGTGTGAGGCCGCGGAGAACCTGTTAGTCAGACAGGCCCAGTTGGAGTCGTTCCCCGACGAGATGAGGTCGGGGCGGAAAGGACGTCGCCAGCTCGAGTGAGATTCGAGGTCTGGCGCCTTACGTGGATGAACATGGAGTTCTGCGAGTTTATGGCAGAGTTGATGCCGCGCTGTGCATGCCGTACAGTGCGAGGAGGCCCGTAATACTGTCACACAGGCACAGTCTTACGGATTTTATTGTGAGACACTTTCATGCCCAGATGAAACATCAAAACGTGGATGCGACGATTGCTCAGATTCGGACGAGATTCTGGGTCACGAAGATGAGACGAGTGCTGAAGGAAGTAATCTCGTCGTGCAACGAGTGCAAGTTGCAACGATCGCGGCCGATGCCGCCGATAATGGGACCCCTACCAGAGGATCGACTGGAAGCGGGAGGATGGCCATTCAAGTACACCGGATTGGACTACTTTGGGCCACTGCTGGTGACTGTATCCCGTCACAGAGAGAAGCGTTGGGTCGCCTTGTTCACATGCTTGACGACAAGGGCGATTCATCTGGAGATGGCTCATGACCTGTCGACGGATTCCTGCATAACAGCGATCAGGAACTTCGTCTGCCGTAGAGGACCAGTACATAGACTGCGGAGTGATAACGGCAAGAACTTCGTGGGAGCTGACAGGGAGGCCAAGCGATTTGGAGACGTGTTCGAGACGGAGAGGATACAGAGTGAGTTGTCCAGCAGAAGCATTGAATGGGATTTCAATTGCCCATCGAACCCGTCTGAGGGCGGAGTATGGGAGCGGATGGTGCAGTGCGTCAAACGAGTGCTGCGCCATACCCTGAAGGAAGTCGCGCCGAGGGACCATGTGTTGGAGAGTTTCCTGATCGAGGCGGAGAATGTAGTCAACTCGCGTCCGCTCACCCACTTGCCGGTGGATGCGGACCAAGAGGCGCCGTTGACGCCAAATGATCTGCTCAAGGGAGCAGCTAACCTGCCGAATACGCCTGGATTGGATGCGGAGCTGCCCAAGGAGGGTTCTACGCGAAAGCAGTGGAGGATTGCTCGCATGCTGCGAGACCGTTTCTGGAGGAGGTGGGTCCTGGAGTACCTGCCAACTCTTGTGCGCCGCGAGAAGTGGTGCCGGAGAACGGAGCCCATCCGCCAGGGCGATATGGTCTTCGTCTGCGATCCTGCCTTGCCCAGACGAGAGTGGCGCAAGGGAATCGTGGAGGAGGTCTACAGCGGAGCTGATGGAGTCGTCAGACGCGCTACTGTGCGCGTGAACGACAATGGCCTATCTCGGACAATGTTGCGGCCCGTCTCAAAACTTGCAGTTTTGGATTTGAGTGAAGCGGTTCTTCACGGGGTCGGGGATGTCGACGGTCGAACATTGTAATCGATAGGTAGACTAAGTATTGTAAGAGAAATCTAGTATTTGTTAATTTATCCGATCTCGTATGGATTTCTTGGCCCTTGAAGTGCGGGCCTACTAATATCGGTTTAATCGATGCCGCCATAAATTGTGCCTTTCATTGTCTTGTGAATCGTAGGAGGGCACACTGCGGTAAGATTAAGTTAGTTTGAAATGTATGAGGCTGATTTGAATTGTTAACAGAATAAAACGATCGCCCCGATCGCACCAATCGAGCGCCACCAGGCGCACGCCGCCCTTAAAGTTCACCCTCTCTTCGGACCTACGCGTGTGGGGTAGTCGTTAACAAGGCAACTCCATATGATGCAAGACAGGCATAGTATACAGCGCATCTGCACCAATACACCGCTATCCTATTGCACCACTCTCCCAGTGCACCACTCTCTCGCTCTCCCGCTCTGTTCGCTTCTCCCCGCATAGCTTACTTAGGCTTAAGTTAGTGTTAGTACTGTCACCAACGAATAAACCGCAGTCGATTCCTTGACTTTTTTGTTCAACCGCAGTTATTCCACGTGTGCATTCATTTCTTCCGTGGATTTTCGCGCTCGCGCATTCAAGTGTATCTTCACTACAGCCGGCATCGCCACGCCGAAACCGAAACTTGGCACCGCCGCCCTCCAGCGTCAGCAACGCCCGCAGCCCCCGAACATTTTGATTCATCGAGCCTAAGCTTTGTCCAAATTAGTAAAGCTTTTCCATCAGGTCTGTAGTCAGCCGTACGATTTGTCTAAAATCCAAGTCTCAGTAGTCTCAGTAATAGATTTTCATCCATTCTCTTCTTACAGTAATCTAAAGCGTGTTTTAGTCTGGGTAATGCGTGTAGAAAGAATTTGGCTTAAACTTGTATCCAATAGAGGATTTTTGACTGCCAACGAACTATTTGATGCCGAAATCGAGATATGTAGACTGGTGCAGCAAAAGGCATACGCAAATGAGATTACGTCATAGCTAAACAACAAAGTGCTGTCAAAGGATAGTGCAATTAATGGACTTTCGGCTTACATAGAGACAGATGGCACTCTACACCCCGCGGATCGAATAGATGAGGCATCATATCTACCAAGCTCAACACGGCGACCTAATCTGCTTCCGACAGGTCACAAAGTGTCCACCCTTATCATGAGATACTTTATGTAAAATATCATAATCAAAATCAGGCGGTTATAATCAACGAAAGTCGACAAAAGTTTTGGATTCCGGAAATTGCTCAACAATGTAACGCCTGAATGCTCTAGATGTATCATAGGCCGAGGATTACCGAAAACCACCATTGCCATCTTATCGGCTGACGCTCTACGTTAGCCCATTAACACATACAGGGGTGGATTTGTTTGGTCCACTAACCGTATCAGTCGGTCGCTGGGCAGTTATGTTTACTTGAATGACATGCAGAGCAACTCATCTTGAACTAGCTGCAGACCTTTCGACAGATGCATTTATAATCTGTCTACAAAATTTCATCAACCGTAGGAGTACACCTGTAATTATTCGAAGCGATATCGGCACAAACTTGATCGGTGCTAATAGCTCAAGGATCATGATAGTTTGTTGGATTTCGATACTATAGCGAACGAAGCGGCTCAAAAGGGTACTAAATGGATCTTCAACCTAACGCCGGTGGGTGTTGCGAATGGTTAATTGGAATCATAAAGGGATTGTTGATGAAAACTTTATGCGATATATACCGACGAGTTGAGACTCTTCACTCAGTATTGATAGAAGCGGAAAACATTCTGAATGCGCGACCTTTAACTGAAATACCCTTAACAAATGAAGCAGAAGAGCCTTTGACTCCAAACCACTTCGCTCAAGCCCTTAAAGATCGCTTATGGAAGAGGCTGATAGTTGAGTATCTCTCTCAACTCATGTGTAGAACTAAATGGTATCATAAAACAACTCCATTTCAAGTTGACGACTTAGTACTTGTAATGGACGCCACTGCACCGAGAAGTACTTGGAAAAAAGGAAGAGTCATATAGGTGTTTGTCGGAAAGGATCAATAAGTTCGTTCTGCCGAGTTCAAAACTGAAGATAACTTGCTACGACGGCCAACATCCAAGTTAATTGAACTTCAGTTAAGTAATGAATCCAAGACGATTCACGGGAAGGGCGGATGTAAGGATTTAGTATTTAAGTTGAGAAAAATATGTATTGTTTTTGGTATTTTTATTTAAATTTAAAAGATAAGAAGTTTGATTTGTTGTGATGGTCATACTGGGAATTTGAAGAAAACAATTAAGAAAAGTAGACGAGCTAGTAAAACACAAAATTGAAACGCAGAATAAAGATTGAAAACGACAATTTTTGTGTATTTGATTGAACAGTGGGCGTGCCAAATTTTTGTTTGGATCAATCGATAGGTATTGATTAAAACAATTAATTTCAGTTCAAATTTTTATTCTAGCATTAAATCTGTAAAAAACACAGTTTTTGGGCGGTTTGTGGGCGTTAGAGTGGTCGTGGCACCCGGCTGGAACCTGCATGCCAATAACCAATAGCCTTGCTCTTATAGTTTCCGAGATCTCAGCGTTCTTACGCACAGACAGACAGACGGACATGGCTAGATCGACTCAGCTAGTGATCCTGATCAAGAATATATATACTTTATAGGGTCGGAAACGCTTTTTTCTGCCTGTTACATACTTTCCGATGAATCTTGTATACCCTTATACTCTACGAGTAACGGGTATAAAAGTTACCTAACTAGAAATTATTGCAGAGGTGAAAACCAAAGATCCCAATTTTAGAGATAGAATTTTTACATCTGGTCTGGACGACACCAAGAAACATTATAGCTTTATTATTGTACAGGCCTAGTATACAGCGCATCTGCACCAATGCACCGCTATCCCTTTGCACCACTCTCCCAGTGCACCACTCTCTCGCTCTCCCGCTCTGTTCGCTTCTCCCCGCATAGCTTACTTAGGCTTAAGTTAGTGTTAGTACTGTCACCAACGAATAAACCGCAGTCGATTCCTTGACTTTTTTGTTCAACCGCAGTTATTCCACGTGTGCCATCATTTCTTCCGTGGATTTTCGCGCTCGCGCATTCAAGTGTATCTTCACTACAGCCGGCATCGCCACGCCGAAACCGAAACTTGGCACCGCCGCCCTCCAGCGTCAGCAACGCCCGCAGCCCCCGAACATTTTGATTCGTCGAGCCTAAGCTTTGTCCAAATTAGTAAAGCTTTTCAATCAGGTCTGTAGTCAGCCGTACGACTTGTCTAAAATCCAAGTCCGATTAAATTCGACAACAGCAGTTATAAATTACTGAGCCATTTTTCTTTTTTTTTCTTTTTCCTATTTTCCGACTTTCTGTTGGGTGCATATTAATGTACGACAAATCTCATTGCATTTGGCTGTGCATACATACATTGATACATCCATACATACATATAGGTTAGGTTAGGTTAGGTTAGGGCGGCTGTCGGACTATAGTCCGACACACTTAGACCTCAATAGGTCCATTGTGATACCGCATGATCTCGTTTTTTTTTTCTTCTTTATGGTCCCGTTTCTAGTAGTTTCAGCCTGTTTTAAGCTGATTAGCATGTCTTCCACCCGGAAGATTTAATAAGGGCACTTAGCTTTTTGAGATTAATCTCCGATATTTCGGTAAGATCGTCGATGAAGGGGCTTCTTAAGTGTTTCAGTCTGTGTCTGCATAGGGCTGGGCAGAAGCAGAGAAGGTGTTCTACCGTTTCCACTTCTTCCTCATCCCTACAGCTTCTGCAGAAATCATTTTCGGGGCTTTTAGCCTGCCGGCATGTGCGCCAACAAGCCAATGGCCTGTAAGTGTTCGAATCAACATGCCACACTCTGTGCGGCTGAGTTTGAGTAACTCCGAGGTTTTGTTGTTGTTTATCACAGGTCCTGTCTGGTGAGAGATGCGACACTGTGGTGCGTTTTGCCAATGGGTGTTGGCTAGTGTGTTGAAGTGGATTTTTGGGCTTGCAATTAGCCTTGGGCATACCGACATTTTCCTCTCCTGGGAGGAGAGGCTTGGTGGTGCCCTGCCTGGCTAATTCGTCCGCTATGCAGTTGCCTACGATGTTCCGGTGACCCGGAACCCATATTAGGCTGATAGTAAACTGATTTGCCATCTCGTGGAGAGATCTGCGACAGTCTGCTATTGTACGGGAGTTGGTGTTTGTCGAGTATATCGACTTAATAGCCGCTTGGCTGTCACTATATATGTTTAGGTGTCCTCTCTGGAGGCTAAAGTTCCCTAAACAGGTTAGTGCGTGGACCTCCGCCTGAAAGACGCTACAGTGGTCCGGGAGCCTGAATGACTTCCTGATATCTAATTGTTCGGAGTATACACCTCAGCCAACGTGTCCTTCTGTTTGTATAGAAACAGATTGCGTCCATTCCTCTCTATCAGGAATCAGGGCCTAAAAGGGTGTGTGACTATATTCAAAGGATTTGCATAGAATCGGAATCGATTTATAATGCTGGAGAATTTTAGCGTGGCCATAAAATTTAGCTTTCCACTGCCCTGTGTCCCTCAGTTGAATAGCTGCCGATTTGGCCCTTTCCATGCCTACTAAGTCCAGGCTAGGGAGGTTCAAGATCGCATTCAGCGCTTCATTCGGGGTGGTTCGAAGGGCTCCACTAATACACAAAGCCGCCATTCGCTGTACTTTGTTTAGAGGAGTCAGTATGCATTGTTTGTGCAAGGCGGTCCACCACAGAGCCACTCCGTACAGTAGGATTGGCTTGACTACCGCTGTGTATATCCAGTTAACTATTCTTGGGGACATGCCCCATTTTAGCACGATTGCTTTTTTACAGGAGTAACAACAAGTTCTGTTTTCGAGGGATTTACCCCGAGTCCGTTCGCTATCGTCCATTCCAATAGTATTTTAAGTTTAGCGGTCATAAGATCGCAAAGTGTTTGTGGATATTTTCCATTAAAGATGATGGCGACGTCGTCTGCGTATGCCACGACCTTACAACCTCCTCCTTCCAGAATCCGCTGTAGTTTATTTACTGCGATTTTCTACAAGAGAGGTGATAGTACACCTCCTTGCGGGGTGCCTCTGTTCACTAGTCTAGTCTGGGTTGAGGTCCCTAGTGTGGCTGTGACCATTCTGCTTATCAGCAATTTATGGATTAGCCTCACCATTGGCGGCTCAACCCCTAGTTCTGTGAGAGTTTCTGTTATAGCAGTGGGGAGCACGTAATTGAAGGCTCCCTCTATATCCAGGAAGGCGATCAGTGTGTATTCCTTGATGCTGAGTGATTTCTC